CACACACACACACACAGTAGCCAGACTGGGTCAAGTGGACATTGTTCTGAGGCTAGACAAACAGGCTGACGTACACATTGAGCCAAGTGAAAGCGCACACACACAAATACATTCACTTTCATTTTTCTTCACCCTCCTCCTCTCACACTCACACACACACACACACACACACACCGGTGTATAAGCCAAAGCCGGAGGCAGTGTAACAACATCAAAGATTGAGCGAGTTGCGGCGGGAGAAAATTGCTGCTCCACCTCGGTCTGGCGGGATGACATCAGAGGTGTGGGTGGCAGAGGGGTGGCAGGGCCTGGAGGGAAAGGCGTTGGTGGGAGAGGACAGGACAAAGGCAGGAGGAATAGGGTCGGCCGTGGAAGGTTAGCTCCTATCATTAACAACCCTGACGTCATGGCATAACATGGGAAATGGCCCGCGAGAAGGTTTGGATGTGACCGGGGAAAGTTTGGGAATAAATTTGCATCAATTTAGGCGTTTTTGCCTCAACTTTGGGATTGAGATGTGAGCTGAAGTTTAGGGTGTGACTCAGCCAACAGAAGGGAATGTGATTTTCAATCCAGAGTTCAAATATTTTCATGGTGGTTTAGTGTCACTCCTGTCAAACAATAACATTAAGTGAATCCAGTGAATGTACATTACACCCATGGTTATCCAAGGAAACTTCCATTATAAGCCCATTAAATTCAGACAATTCACAACTTCCTAAAACACCAACAAGCCTGTCCTCATAGCGTAACAAAATGAAAACTCTTGCCCCAGCAGATGACATTTTGAAATCTGTCTACAGCATCAATTGTGTACCTGGTTATTCACTAGCAAACAGCCCTCTACTGCCATTGCAAATATGATATAATGTCCAAATACTGCAAATGTAATTTACCCATCTCACTCCTGTTATTGCATTTTTCAGGTCAATACTCTCCTGATTCTGAGGATTCTAAAAGGGAAAAAAGTAGTGAGCACACTGAGGCACTTTTAAAAATGAGCTGTACAATTGATATCTTGTCAGCGTTGTACTGTGTTCCTAATGATGATGACACATGACTTGTCTAGTGGTGGGGCAATAGGCACTCAATGTTTACATTCATATAAATGTATTGACTATGTGCTGTGCCCCTGCAGCACTGTTGACAAATTGGATAACTGATAGTAGCAGAGGGTAAGACTGGGTATGAATGAGGTTGGTGGATCTAATATGCCATCTAGTGGTAGATTAATATAAGTTATTTTCCCTTCAGTGTTAATTTACATACACAGAGTTAGGGCACATGAGTTTTACCAAATTACCACCAGCAAACCATTTCTCAGCAAGGCACTGATATAAGAATATCTGCTGCTCATAAAGAACCTTTATTAAATTCAGTTTTCCAACAAGCAAAAACATTAAGTGGAATGTGATCGGTTATATCACCAATTAATATAAATACAGATGTACGTACTGTAGTTGTAAATTAATGGAGAAAAAAAACACTTTCAAAGTACCGCAGTCAATTTTACTAAAACAAAGAAAACAAAGTAGTAGTGTCAAAATGAAAACAACCCCAACCATTACACAGCCTACTAAATAAACACTACAATTAAAAGAAATGCTAAGTGACAAATTAGTCATACTGATAAATGTAGGCCAAACTAGGCCAAAGTGTAATTTTCATTGAAAAGATTTATTATGCACAAAATATTTTCCAGGAATGATTAATCCAGCATAATATTTCCAGCTTCAATATTCCCTTTTCTTGCAAGCATTTGGGAATACTGGAATTTTACAATTCCATGGTATTATGGAATGTAGGAGTAAAGTGGCTAAGTGCCATACAACTTCCCTTGAATTACTTACCTCTTTCAGATATGCTTGAGAAAACATACAATAAACAAAAAAAAAGAATTTTAAAGAGGTTTGTAGAAAGGTTAGATAGTGAAGACCTCTGACCAAAATATGATGTGCAGTATTGTGAGTGTATGCCGCTCACTTTGTGCTCAGGAATGTCCAGGACTGTATTAAAAAATATGTGGAATTTTAAGACACTATGAGCAGCATAAAAGTGCACCATCTTCAAAAGTGGAAAACATCTAAAAAAACAGGGAAACCATCTGCCAACGCTGCATCCTTCCTCAGTCACCCTCCTCTCCATCTGTCCATCTGTCAAGCGGGGCGCCTGTAGCAGGCCTCCTGGTAGGAAGTAGCGTTGACAACACTGAACATGTCTCTCCTGACAAAAGACAGGAAGTTCTTCAGAGGGCAGAGGGGCTGACTGGCGTGGCGGTCATGGGAGCGACAGAAGGTGGTGTGAAATGTCACATCCTCTCCGTTGTACAGCACCCTGATGAACAGCTCCCTGTCTTTCGCCTTCGACTTCTCACCTTTGCCAGCTTTTTTCTTCGGCTGTCCTTGCATCGCTGGTGGACTTTTCCACAGTTCAAAGACTACTCTTGCGGCAAAACGCGGAAAACGGGCCTCCTCCAGCCCCAGTGCGCTCAGCAACGGGGCCATGGTGACATCGTGGGCTGAAGACAGGGTGAAGACCTCCTCGCCACCTGCACGAGGCTGTCGGCCAGCCTCTTTGTCCCTGGCAACGCGCTCCATCTTGGTGGCAGTTCGGTTAAGGTAGGGGTACATTGCCAAAATGGCGTATTTATGGTACAGTCCCACTCTTCTCCGATCCACCTCATCATCTAGCTGCTGTCGACGAATCACAGCAAACTGTGCCATTGTCAGACATCCCTTGGTGCCACTATCTCCTATGGGAACGCATGGGAAAGAAATGCCGTGGCACAGGTGGCACAGCAGGGAGTCTATAGGGTTTGCAGCTCGGAGCTGGCGGGTCAGCAGACCCAAAGTCCGTGCCATATCTGCGTAAGTCCTCTCGAGTTCGGTATCGCTCACTCTGAGCCGATACTGCCTCCTCTGCTCTTCCTCCAGGTATCTGTTCCTGGCGGGGCAGTCGCAGGCCGACCCACAGAACAACGTGCTCCATTGGTGCCGCACAGTTAGTTTCGTCCAATCAAAGTCCGGGAGAAGGCCGTAGAGGAAGGCCAGTCCGCTCTGCAGAGTGCGGCTCTTACCTGTGGTCTCAATCCACACCTGGCGGGGCGACCAGTCGGAGGGGAGGAGATTGTGACGCTTGTAGGCTTGGTGGAGGAGCTGGCCGTTGCGCAGGTGCTGCACCACACCTGAAAAAGACCAGAAATGCTGGATGCTTGATAACACATACCATCAAGAAGAACAAAATGCTCTACCGTATGAACTAAGACATTAACATGTAGATTAATTGCATACACTGTGTTCCAAATTATTAGGCATATACTGTTTTTGTTCTTTTTCTTACTAATCGATATACCATTTGGCAGTCAATCACCGGCATTTTTTATTCCTCCAACAAATGTCATACCTCCGCTAATCTGGATTTTATTAAGCACAATTACAATGATGACGGGCATTTTGTTTGCCCAAATAACTCCAAAATGCACGTGCTTCCACAATTATTATGCCCAAAACAGAAGTTTCAAAACACTCTAATAGGTTTCTAAAGGGATTGAAAACCGAATCTGTTCGTCATTTTTTGGCATTAGAGGGGATGCCATTTACTCCTAAAATCAAAGCTATTCTTCAATCAAAACCGAATCTTTTAGAATCGAGTTACATATCTAACGATAGGAGCCCTTCTTTGATATCGCCATTAAGCAACTCTCTTCCCATCCCCCATTGAAATTGTAAGTCCATGTCAGTTTCTGCCTGTAATTCTTTGAGGATCGCCAGAGTTGCCTCCGCAGAGCTGCTGTTTTGAAGGTAAACGCA